TCGAGGCCCTCATGACATGAATTACAGGTGTTTATGAACCTCTGTTTCTGAATTTCTTTATTTGGGGATTGAAACAGGAAATCTGATGAGAACTTTTGATTGCTCGTCCCGCTTCCCTCGCCGACGCTATGGCTATGGCCCAGTTGTTTGAGGAGCGAATTGAGGACCTGCTTCACTTTCAAAAACGCGAGGGAACTCGCGGCTCTGTCGGTGGCCCTGGCCGACCTGCTCCGTCATCGACCTGTTCAGGGACTCAAATGATTTCCTCAGTAGGCGGGAGCTCCCTTCAGTCCCAACGAGGTGGTACTGCTTCGCAGTTGTCCCCCCGATTCCTATTCGACGCCTCTCTCCAGCCGAAATCCGGGAGAAGCAAGAGAAGGGCTTGTGTTTCAGCTGCGATGAGAAATACAACATCAACCACCGGTGTAAGAACAGAGTACTCCTGATGTGTGGAGAGGAGGATGACTCGCAGGAGAGCGAGCGCGACCCGGAGGTCATTAATGGGGAAGATGAGGAAGAGGTCAGCCTTAATACTCTCTCTAACTCTCTGAACCCTCAAATATTTTGGATTATGGCTTCTCATGGGAAGGAGAAACTGGAGGTGTTGATCGACACTGGCAGCAACAACAATTTCGTACAAGAAGCATTAGTGGAGAAATTGGGTCTCTAGTGGGAATCTTCGCGCCGGTTCAAGGTATACATGGGGAATGGGCAGTACTTAGTCTGTGACAAGCAGTGTGTTGGGTCGCCTTGGATATGCAGGGGCACCGTTTTGTTGTTGATTTGTTTGTTCTGCCAATATGGGGCTTGGATGTAGTGCTTAGTATGCAGTGGCTCCGCACTTTGGGACCTTGCTTACATGATCACAACGAACTCACCATCGAGTTTGTTGGCAGGGCAAGCAGGTTAAGTTGGCCGGAAGTACAGCCGCACCAACTAGGCAAGTTACTTTTTCTCAGTTCAGTGCCATGATTCAGAGAGGGAGTGTTCAAGGGGTCTACTCGCCGAATGCCACGTTCAACAAGGCTGGAGACCAGGCCTCGTCTGGGGCAGAGGAGATTGCCAAGCTCGAACTCGCATTACCTTAGGCAGCCCAAGGATGTTGGTCTCCGAATCGAATTCGGATGCGGAAGCGTGGGGGCGGGGAGGAGGTGGATCGCGTATAACAAAAATTTTCATAAAAATTTTGAGATACTCTATAGATTATATTAATTTATGCACGAATAAATTAATCTCATTAATTCATTTATTAAGGACTCAATTAGGAAAAATACCTGGAGGCCGACTCAAATGATAACTTGAGTTCTTTGACCTCGAACAATCCTTGCTCCAAAACTTTGTGTTTAGAAAACCAATGTCTTCCACGTCAATTCCTAGAATCCACGAAGACGTGTGTGTGGGCACACATGAGACAAAATGGATTACAATAAACACTCAAATTTTCACAAACACCAACGCATGCATGATGTGGAATTTTTAGAGAAAAAATGTTTCCTTCTTTCTATAGAGAAATTTCGGCCACCTATAAAATTAGGGCAAAAAACCATTCTGAAAATTGTCTCAAAAATAGTATTTATAGAGTAGAAGTCAAACTTCTAGAAGGAATCCAATCTCTATCTCTAAGATAAAGCTTGTTAATTATCTCCTATTTGAATTTTAAACAAAATGTCCTATTCCCTTATCTCTTAGTGTGGCCGGCCAAGATGGGGATTCTCATCCCTGTGTGGTGCCAATATCAGATAGGAAGGAAGAGAAAATCATCATTTATCCTGTAGTCCAATTTTGACTCAAATCCAAATTCCAATTTAAGTCAAACTTAAATTAATTTGAATTCTAAATTGAACAACTTATCAAATAAGTTTAAATGGATAAATCTAGATGGCAGAGCCAGGTTTTCTGAAAAAAACCTAGCCTCAATTCCCAACCGTCCCTTATAGCCAAGCACAGCCATGGCATCCGAAACAACCAGCTCTACCTCTGAAGTTTCTTCTCATTCCAATCAAACATCTGCTCTTCCAAATTTTGGAAATTCTGGAAATTCTGGAAATTCTAAAAATCTTTCACTCCTTTTATCCTTAAGTACCATTGATTCTCTAATGGACAGTGATTCATAAAACACATTCATGAATCGGAGCTCCTACTGGTCCAAGTACAGAATCAACCCTCAAGAGAATTATTTATCTACTTCTTTCTTAAGAAGGAATGGATTCCATATCGTATAATAACATTCCCGGCTACCTACTTCATCATGTCTCTAAAATACAAGGAATAGGATTTAGGATCTCAGAATCCGTACCGAGTAAATCAAAAGACACAAATTCATAAATATAAGTCTGTTAAGAACTCAGGATGAAGATCATTCTATATATGACCATCGGTAGACTCAATTAGAATTTCTATACTTAACGGAAATTATTAGAAATTCATATTGTGTCTGTGTCCTTGTTCCACATAATCTCATTATGCGAAATACACTCATTCAATATCTCGCCATATTAACAGTGCGGATAATACCGTTCCATTCTAAATGGGAATGACATGTATTAATAATGTTTTAATTAAAGATTCTGAACTTTAATTAAATTCATTATGAACATTGCTTTTTGATTATTATCCTTAAACATTATCCTCTCGTATATAACACTTATATACAATGTTTAAGGTTACATAAATAATCACAGAATTTTCATTGATATTCATAAAATATTCATAAATATATGCACATAAAATAATGAATAAACTCTTTTATTAAATAAATAATAAATATCCTATTACATCTTATGCTTCTAGGACACCATTCCCAACAAAGGACTCATCCGGCGTTACAAGACAATTTTTGAGGAACCTAGACGGTTACCACCTTTTCGCAGCATTGACCACCGGATTCACTTACAACCGGGCACTACCCCTGTCAACGTTCGACCCTACTGATACCCTTATTTCCAGAAGGATGTCATGGAGAAATTGGTTAAGGAGATGCTTGAGTATGGCTTCATTCGTCATAGCACTAGCCCGTATTCATCACTCGTCCTTTTAGTTAAGAAGAAGGATGGCTCCTAGCGATTCTGCGTTAACTACCGAGCACTAAATTTGTTACCGTCAAAGACCGCTTTCCCATTCCTACGGTCGACGAATTGCTCGATGAATTGGGAGGAGCTGTGATCTTTTCGAAGTTGGACCTGAGGTCCGGTTACCACCAAATCCGGATGGATAGCAGGGATGTTCACAAGACCACCTTCCGAACTCATGATGGTTATTTCGAGTTCGTCGTGATGCCGTTTGGGCTCTCGAATGCGCCATCGACGTTTCAAGCAGCCATGAACCAAGTTTTTAAACCATTTCTCCGCAAGTTCGTGATAGTTTTTTTTTATGACATTCTTATTTACAGCAAGAGTTTTGAGGACCATGTGCAACATTTTGAGTTAGTCCTTCAATGTTTGCTGACTAACAGATTTTTTGCAAAAGGGAGCAAGTGTAAATTCTTTCAGGATTCCATTGATTACCTTGGTTATCTTGTCACTTCGGCTAGAGTCAAGGCTGATCCAGCAAAAGTAGAAGCTATGACCCGTTGGCCTCAACCCCGGAACCTTAAACAGTTGCGCGGCTTCTTAGGTCTGACCGGGTACTACTGGCGGTTCGTCCCTGGTTACGCCACCATTGCAGCCCCCCTAACCGAGTTGCTCAAGCGCGACAATTTCCATTGGACTGACACGGCCACAATTACTTTCGAGGAACTGAAACAGGCTATGACAAGAACTCCCATCCTGCAGCTACCGGATTTTTCCAAGCCTTTTGTGGTCAAAACTGATGCGTCGAATGAAGGCATCGGAGGGGTGTTACTGCAAACTGGGCATCCTTTGGTGTTTTTCAGCAAGAAAATAGGGCCACGATTGATGGGCGCCTCTGCTTACCGGTGTGAGCTCACGGCGGTAGTGGAAGCTGTGGTGAAGTGGCGGCAGTATCTCTTGGGGAGGCCTTTTACCATTCGAACAGACCATAAAAGTTTGAAGGAGCTCTTGACGTAGGTCATTCAGACCCCGGAGCAACAACACTGTCTAAGGAAGTTGTTAGGTTTCAATTTTTCAATCGAATACAAGGCCGGAGTCGACAATTCAGCAGCCGATGCCTTATCTCATTGTATAGACGGGCCTGCAGTAGAGGTCCGGGCAGCCTTGTCCTGTGGACGATATGCATTCTTAGATGAACTTCGTCAAGAAAATCGGGAGTGCCACGATCTCCTACACATTCACCAACAAATGAAGGAGGGCACCTTGGGAAGCACATATTTTTGTTGCCGTGATGGACTGCTTTACTACAAACAACGCATATACCTTAGCCAGGACTCCAGCCTCAAGCCGCAGCTGTTACAGGAGTTTCATGCCACCCCAACTGGAGGTCATGCTGGGGTGGAACGGACCTACCTGCGCTTGGGTGCAAATTTTTATTGGTCGGGTATGCGACGAGACGTGTGAGAGTTTATGAGCCATTGTGCCATCTGTCAAACGGTGAAATATTCTACCGCATCTCCGTATGGCCTCTTTCAACCATTAGAAATACCGGAGAGAGTTTGGGAAGATGTCGCTATGGACTTCATCGTGGGATTACCCAATTCCAGAGGACACACTACGATCTTAGTCGTGGTCGACCGCTTGACCAAGTATGCACACTTTAGAGCTTTGCCTTCCACCTACACTGCTTTAAAAGTGGCAAAGTTTTTCTATGGCATGGTGATCAAGCTTCATGGAGTCCCATGTACCATCATCTCGGATAGAGATCCCATTTTTACCAGCCAATTTTGGACGAAAATTTTTGAACTCATGGGAACGCGCTTGAGAATGAGCTCAGCTTATCATCCGGAGACAGATGGACAAAGTGAGGTTTTGAATCGATAGCTTGAGCAGTATTTGCGTGCCTTTGTTACGGATAATGCAAAGCAGTGGAGTGCTTACTTGGGCTGGGTAGAATACCATTATAACACCAGCCATCAGTCGGCTATTGGAATGACGCCCTTTGAGGCTGTCTATGGACGCCATCCCCCCACTATTCCGGTGTACATACGGGGAACAACTTCACTTCAGGCCGTGGATGAAAACCTCAGCAACCGAGACGCCATCTTACAACAATTGAAGGTGAATTTGAGTCAAGCTCAGAATCGTATGCGCCAGGTTGCCAATAGGAGGCGCAGGGACATCCAGTTCCACCTTGGTGATCTGGTTTTGGTTAAGCTCCAACCTTACCGACAGATGACGGTGGTGAAACATTTGAACAACAAGATTTGCAGGCGCTACTTTAGACCCTTTCTTATCGTGAGGCAGGCTGGACCTGTGGCTTACACGCTTGGGTTACCTCCTGACAGCAAAATTCATCCTACATTTCACGTGTCTTTGCTGAAAGTGTTTAAGGGGGATTACCCTACCACGTGTTTCCCTTTACCTAGCCTGAGCCTTTCCAACAAGCCACTGATTTACCCAGTAGCTATCATAGCTGCCCGACTACTATATGACCACAAGAAAGTGATTAAATAGGTGTTAGTTCAATGGTCTAGTCTCACAGCCCTTTGGAGGATGCCATGTGGGAAGAGTTGTCTGCTTTTGGTCGTTTATATGATATACCTGACCTTAAGGACAAGGTCGTTTCCGAAGGCACGGGGAGTGATACGTGGGTGGGCTTGACTCTAGAATGAGGCAGAGTCCAGGAGAGGCTAGCCCACTGGATTGAGTCAGCGGCCCAACTAGAGGAGACTGGGGCCCAAGCCCAGATCAAGGGTCTGCTAAAGAAGGGTAATTAGATCAGCAAAGCAGAAGGAAAAGAGGAAGAGCTTCCAGAAACAAAAGGGAAGGAGGCGCGTGAGATCAGGGTGAGTAAGAGGCCAAGCAAATTGGATGATTTCGTGATGGGAGGAGGCCGTTGCGAGAGATCCGGGTTCCTACAACAATTATGTTCTTTGCATTCAGCCATATTAGATATCTTTTCTATTTTTTGTTTTTTCTAAGAAAATCTCGTTGCTTATATAGAGATTTCCAATTGTAATGTTTTTTTTAAGCAATCAGTAAAGTTTACCTGTGGGAGTCTGGCACTGACTCGAAGAGTGCGATTTCGTTCTTATCAACGAAACTCTTCTATTCTCAGAAAGCGACAATTAACAACGTAAGTCGAACCGCATTCAAACCAAACAATAATTCCAATTGAAGTGATTAGCAAAATCAACTATTGTACTATTGTGTCCCATCAATTTTGCTTCAAAGTGCATGCAAAATTCATCCAAAAGGTTTAGCAAAATGCTTTTTGCAAAAGCCTCTATAAGTTCTCCCCCATCAATATTCATTTTAATCCCTCCCGAGATAGGAGTATATATGCCACTGCACTTCAATAATGATTCTACGAACTCTATTTTGCAAGTTGAATGACTTTAGAAAATGAATTGTTAATGGTGCCCGAGAGTCAAGGAAATTAGCATATTCAATACAATTCAACTGCAAAACAAAGGCTTAATTGATGCATCTGATTTTTTTTTCTTTTGATATTCGAAAATCATTGAATTCTGGAACTTGGAAATAATTTGTATCGTGAAAATCACGTCAGAGACCTATAAATTATATATTTGCTTACGCATTGTTCAATAAGTTGTATGTTTGTTTACTCTCGTAAGTATTTAAAAAATATATGAGCTATATATTGTAGGCCTATGGAGGTAATTAAGAGACCAATGTAATGCATAAATTTTGGGCTTTCTAATTCGTTTCTATGCATTTGTCATTGTCAAATGACAAATGAGACTTGAGTATTCATATTTGATAATAAAATGTTGTCTAGATTAATTATCCGTTAAAGAAAAAAACAATCCTTAAGATTAGTAAACCTCAAAAAATGATGGGATTATTGGTCCTACCCGCAGTCCCGTCCACCTACCGTTCTTGCTTGTCGATTCCACAGCTCTCCCCCGTTGTCTAAGCATGTCGTTGCACCCGCCATCACACGCCACCCTCAAGTGCGGCCCCCGCTCCGATGTAACGATAAAAATAAACTATAAGGTACACTTTTGAGAGGTGGTTATTAAATTTTACAAATTTATATTATTTGTTTGATGCATACCGCTTTCATGAGTTATGAGTAAACTACTAGTTTACTTACCACTTAAATCATTGGTTTACTCTTTTTTATTGGAACCAATGATTTATTTCATACCAATTATTTAGTTTTTATTAAACGAGCCGTTTTTTGGATTAAACCAGAAAATTTAAAACTAGAGTAAACGTTAATTGAAAGTTGAACCAGTAGTCTACTTAATTTTGAGTAAACCAGTCAATTAAAGGAGAAACAATAATACAGATCTGATTAACTCAAATTTTTATTCACAAATTTTAGAATCGCAACAAAAAAAAGGGGAGAAAACATATAGAAAGACATTAGTCTCGATATTGCAGGCTGTAAGTTCTCACCATGGTATTGTGACGACTCGAGTCCTCGAGCCGTTATAAGTACTTACTTAAACTTACTTTCTTATCTTAATTAGTTCGAAATTACTAAAATTTTAGGGAATCTTTTGAACCTAGAAAGAAAATAATGGCTGGAAAGCTCTGCCAAGTAGCCCTATTGATCTAAACGCGTTATTCTGAAAGGGAGTTGTCTTAGATCTGATTTCCGTCGGCTACCCCATTATTATATTTTGGGCCCAAATTTGTGTCCATAATAACACGACAGTGATCACCCATGAAAAATTCTCTACATGTAACTTTGTTGTCTTGCCCCACGTAATTCAATTTTAGGCCCAGAATGTAGTAACCTGTGACGGCAGTTCAAATCCTTTCCTTGGCCCATTAATGTTTCTAATTGCTAAGCTCCCCCGTCCGAGTTCTAGTGGGTATGCTTCACAACTAGAGATGTCAAAACGGCACAGCCCTTCTAACCCCAGGCCCGTGGCGGGCCTTGGCCGTGCACTGTGCAGGGCCGTGCCAGGGCTGGGCCCTCGACCCTAGTCCATAAGGGTCAGGGATGGGCCCGGGCCTAGGCCCTTCACGGGCCGGCCCTGGCCCTTTTAATTTTTTTTTGCAATATTTAATTAAAAAAAGAAAATATATTATATGCCTTTAAAAGATGTGATTTTATTGAATTGAGATAATACGAATAAGTACACATGATTGATTGCCTCGTTAAAAACCTTGTCAGGTAAAACTCGTGGGGAGATCGGGACAAAACCTTAGCGAAGGAAAAAAGAATGCAGTATTATAGGATAAGTAAATTACAAAACCTAAGTGTTTCCAGAAGATTCTGTTATGTCTTAACTCAATCTTAACCTAATTTTCTTAATGCACTTGAGTTTCACTTATGATTAACAATTTTTTTTAGGATCTTTTTTATAATTTCAAATTTGATGACAAAAAAAAGTAATATATCATATGCCCAAAAAAATGTGATTTTATTGAAATAATATGAATAATTACAAGAAAATGATTGGTTGACCGGATGACATAGGTTGGTCAGTTGGCCCTAAAATGCCTCAAACCTCATTAAAATTTCATGTCGTGTGCCTGGGCCATGCCTAGCCCTTCGCATGCCTGGGCCTGGGTCGTGCTTGGGGCTTGGCGGGTCTAGGCCTTGGCCGTGCCTGGGTCGTGCCTGGGTTGTGCCGGGGCTACGGGCCTCAAACAAGAGGCCCAGCCTAGGCCCTTCTGGTGTGCCGGGTCGGGCCGGCCCATAACAGTATAGGGCCGAGCCGTGCCGAATTGACCACTGTAGCGGGCTGGGCCAAGCCATTAATTAACACCTCTATTCACAACTGATCCTAGGCACCGAGAGATTTAGGAAAATAGTAGTAAATAGCTGATTTTTGAAATTAAATTAAGTAAATAGAAAATTTTAAAATTATTTGAAGTAAATATGAGTTTATGTGGTAAATGAATTATTTACCGTGTAAATGATTCATTTACGACTGGTAAAAAAATAACTTGCGTGGTAAAAAAAATCTAAAAATAGCAACAAAACTTAGTAAAAACTCACACACTCGATTTCCCATAGAATTCAAAGCCGTGCTCTGATACCAAAACTGTCACGACCCCAGAGATGGGACCGTGATTATTGAAATTTAATTAAAGAAAATTAACTTAATGAAACTGGACCATTTAACGAAAATCACAAAAATAATTACATAAATATCAATATATTTTGCTCCGGAGACTTTCTTTTACAAATAATATCAAAACAGTCAATAAATTTAAACTTTACACATCTCAGGGACAATGCCGACCAATACAGATAATATACAAATATACAGTACCACTTTAGAATTTAAAAGCTGTAAATTTCTAATTAAAATAAGCCACATCGTATCTCAAGCCTTCAATCCGTTAGCATCAGCTTGCCACGTTGCTAGTCAAGCAACTAACTCTGGAGGGGGAAAAATTTAAAACAGGGGTGAGCCTATTGCCCAGTGGGAGAATAATAGTAGATTATATTGAAAAATAATTTTAGAAACCATAGTTTAAGTATTTAAAATTCTCAATCCCAAACCTTGACACTTGCTAGGAGTAAACTCAAAACTGAAAATATTAGCAGATGTCGACATCTTTTGAATAAAATGGATAACCACGCATTTTAAAACCCTTTTTAAAATACTAAAACTTTCTCAAATTCATTTCGAACAGTACAAGGAATCTAATCCCTCAGATAATCAACAAGTACCAAGTACTTGTAATTCCATCTAAATTCTAAAGCATCCTAGAACTTGAAGTTCATAGGAGAAGACTAGAAGTCAAACACCGGTAACTGGAATGCTCTCTAGTAGTACCAGACATAAAGTCTAACATCTGTGCTAAGCCAATATACACCCCGCGTGGGTTCTGGCTTCTGCCCTCAAGGATACGATCTTTATATCCTAGTCTTCAGGCAATTAAGCACACTAAGTATCTAATTACTCATCAGGTCAGTGTTCAAGAGCGAATTGCTTATCAGAACAGTGCTACGAGCTCTACATGTTAATACACCATGCTCGAATTTATTTCTAATTCAAGACATATTTTCTTTTCTGAAATTTCACTTCCATAAACTATGATTCACGAATATCAAGTTTTCCGGCAAGTTTTTCATATATGAATGATTACTCCACATATATTTATTCATAGATTTTTTTTCAAAAATCTTTTTTTCTAAATTCTCTTATCAAAGAAATCGAATTCTTCACAAAAAGGTAGAATTCCTCGAAACACTTTTAAAAGGATGAGAAATACATTCTCATTCTTAAACATGGTTATAACTGGAGAAGTATGAAAAATTATGACTTAAAACTGATTTTCAAACATTTCTAGGCGGTTTTAGTTGCCACCAGTCGACCGCTAGCAACAAAGTGCAACTCCACTGGTCGACCAGTGGAGTGCATACCGGTCACCCAGTGTGGGCGACCGGAGCTGTTCTGCAAGCTGGAATAACTTGCCCCTTTAGCAAGAAACTTTGCCCAAAACCTGCATTTTTGAATCACCTTCACCAATAACTCATGGAAAGTAATTTTATACATATCCAGTATGCCAAATCAAGAGTTCTAAATTTAAATCCTCAAGTAATTCGACATACTTCACCATAAACCAAGTTCAAAGTCTTTTGTCATCAATAAAACTCAATCCTCAAAATTCAGGAATTTTACCAAATCAACAGAAAATTCATAACTTCAAGAGGTACTCAACAATTTTTTAT